AGGGCAAAGGCTCAGTTTAAGAGTGGAGGAGTCACTTCCACAGAGAAGGACCTTGGCTGGAGAGAGAGAGAGAGAGAGAGAGAGAGAGAGAGGGAGAGAGGGAGGGAGAGGGAGAGAGAGAGGGAGGGAGAGGGAGAGAGAGAGGAGGAAACTCTGGGTCAAGCTCCCTCTGGAATACAAGATGCTCAGGGATGGGCTGCCAGGGGACAAACTGGGAGTGAGAAACGTGGGTTTTGTGGACCCCCAGAGGCACTGAGGCTGAAAACTTCAGATCTATATTCCACAACGGCTCCCATGGGAGAAAGGGAGAAAGATAGATAGATAGATAGATAGATTCTTTATTGTCATTACACTAGTGCAACATTGCACAAGTGCAACGAAATTGGATGCCATCCCTTAAAAACAACAAAAGCAAAACAACAACAACAACCAAACAAACCACATTCCAGCCACACCCACACCAACACCCATCAAACTCCCAGGTCACACTATCGAGTTACAGCATTCAAAAAGGCCACAGCTCTTGGATAGAAACTGTTTTTCAGTCTATTTGTCTTTGACTTGATGTTTCTATATCTCCTGCCAGAAGGCAGTAGTGCAAACAGACTGTGTCCCGGGTGAGATGAATCCTGCAGGATGTTATTTGCTTTCCTAAGACAACGGGAACCGTACAGTTCTTCCAAAGATGGGAGAGGATGACCAATAATCCTTTGGGCTGTGGTTATGACCTTCTGGAGCACCTTCCTCTCCCTAGCTGTACAACTGGAGAACCAAGCACAAATACAGTATGTAAGAATGCTCTCTATGGAGCCTCGGTAGAAGGACACCAGCAGTCTCTCACTCAGATTGTTCTTTTTTAAAAGTCTGAGGAAATAAATTCTCTGCTGGGCCTTCTTCACCAGAGCAGTGGTATTTGCGCTCCAAGTCATGCCCTGATCCATAGTCACTCCCAAAAACCTGAATTCCGCCACCCTCTCCACCCGTTCCCCGTTGATATACAAGGGCTGAATGTCCGCCTTTTTTTTCCTGTAATCCACCACCAATTCCTTGGTCTTAGCCGTATTAAGAGCCAGATTGTTCTCTCCACACCAAACACAGAGCCGCTCCACCTCGTCCCGATAGGCGGACTCATCCCCTCCTGAAATGAGCCCCACCACCGTAGTGTCATCAGCAAACTTGATGATTTTGTTGCTGGAGTAGATGGCTGTACAGTCATACGTATAGAGAGCATAGAGCAGGGGACTCAACACGCAACCCTGTGGTGAGCCGGTGTTAAGGCTAAGGGCTGTGGACACATGTGACCCTACTCTAACCCTCTGAGAACGTTCTGACAAAAAATCCAAAACCCAGAGACAGGTGGAGTTGGGGAGTCCAATCGTCTCTAGCTTGGACACCAGTCTATGGGGGAGGATAGTGTTAAAAGCAGAGCTAAAATCCACAAACAGCAGCCTCACATAATTCCCCGGCTGCTCCAGATGGGACAGAGCAGCATGGAGAGTGGTGGTGATAGCGTCTTCTGTGGATCTATTTGCCCTGTATGCAAACTGGTAGTTGTCAAAAGTTGATGGAAGACAGGAAATAATATGATGGCGCACCAGTTTCTCAAAACACTTCATGATGATTGGAGTCAGTGCAACTGGTCTGTAGTCATTCAAACTACTGATTGTGGATTTTACTGTAGCTGCAGCTTCATGTTTTTACTGTCTTCTCCCCAATGTGAAGGAGAAGCAGAATAACCTCCCTGCAAGCAGGAAACGGGGGCAACGGCTTGGCCTGCAGCCTTCCTCCCTGATGTGCTAGATTTCTCCTTGCAGGCAGTGCCAATGTAATTTGGGTGTCCATGCAGCTCCTGCCTGAGGCTGGGAAGGAGGCCTCTTGGAGAAAGGAACAGACCAAGAGGAGGGGGGCAAGGGGGTCCCTGGACAGGAGGGGCAGGATCCAGGCAGTCTGCTCCCTGGTGTCAGAAGCAGGACTTCTGGGCCCACAGCACGTGTCTCCCTCCCCCACCTCTCCCTCCTTCTGCCCCCTTGTTTCTGGCAGCAGAGGAGGCGCTGCAGAAAGGCGCTGGGGGGAGTTTCGCTTCCCCCCACATGGGGGCCTGGAGCTCAGCTCAGCATTCAGGGAAATGAAAGAGGGAAGCTGGCCACGATCCAGGAGACGGAGGCCAACAGGGAGCGCAGCAAAACCTCCTCACAGAGAAGTAGCTTCCAGGGCCCCCCCCCAAAGCACAGCCCCCCTCCAACCCAGCAGCAATGGCTTAAGAGGAATTGCTATTTTAGGGAAGGAGCCCCTTGGGAATGGCTGAGCTGAAAGGAGTGGGGCTGGGCAAGCCCCATAGCATCCTCTGCTAGAGGAATAGGGGCTCCTTGGCTCAAGGTGGGGGGGGGGGAGATTTCCTTGGAGAGCAGCCCCCTCCCTCTTGCCTCAGGAGAGCAAAGTGGGTCCTCTCTTCCTAAGGCAGGAGGGAGGAGGAAGAAGAGGGGAGAAGGGGCAGAGACCCCTCCAAGTCCTCAAGGCTATGGGGCACGACCCACAGGAGAGGGTGGGGGGTGTTTCAGGTCAGCCAAGGCCAGGATGTGGCCCAGTCAGGCTGGCCAGACCTCCTTCGTGAGTCGGCTGTGGGGCAGAGACAGGTCTCTTCAACCTCTCCAGACCCCAGACCCCCTTTCAACCCAAACATGCAGTTCTCCATCTTTATATCTGTGAGGTGTCAGGGCTCCTGTTTCAGCCCACATGGGATCAGGCTGAGACCCACCAGTGGAAGACCAGGGGCACAGAACATGTCCCCCCAGGGAAGAAGTCACTGCTTTCGGGGGTCTTGATCTGCTGTTTCCCCTCCTCTCCCCATTCTGTCCCTTGCATAAATGCCTCCTTCCAAAAATGATTGCAAGTTGAAAGAGTCGTCCAGCTCTTCCTCCCCCTGGCAAGAGGCTCCAGGAGGGACATGACCCCCAGAGAGGGGTTTGGGAGAGGCGTCCCTTCTGGGGCCAAGGCTTGTGCAGGGACATCACAGGGACGGACAGACAAGGCCCAGCCTGCTGTGCAATATTATACCTTGCAGTCGTCACGGTTTCTTTAGAAGGGGAAATGGGATCTTTTTTGCAGATCCTCTTTCAGCAAAAGAGCAAACATTCTCCTGGATCTCAAGGCAGAAGCAAGGGAGAAACCTTCAGCCAAGTATCATGTGGGGAGGGGGGCCAGGGGAGCTGCCAGGGCAAGGCTGTGGGGCAGGAGGCCAGGGCCCCCCTCAGCAGAAAGAGCCGCAGGTCCTGTGAATGTGAAAGGGCCCATTTGCCTTGAAATGGGACCGTTTGAAGAAGGAGAGTCTGCCAAGGGCACGTGGTCCCAAGAGCCTAAGATCCTCAAAGGGCCTCTTCCAAATTTCATCCCTGGTATCTGGGACAAGGCCTTCTCCTGGAAGGATCAAAAACTCATGGAGTTGGAGGGACCTCAGGGGTCATCTAGTCCAACCCCCTACATTCCCTCTCTTCCGCAGACCAACCCTGCCTGCGGTTGGTGATGCCTGGGTCTTTTTCCCTCTGAGGAAATCCCTTCTCTCTGTGGATTTTGTAGCATTTCCTCCCTGTCTTAGTGGGAGCTTGATGGTCCTGTCTCCTCCTCTGCCATCACATTGTGAACCGCCCTGAAATTTACAGTTGAAGTATAGAAATTTTAAAAATAAATGAATACATGTAAATATGGTCCAATGGGAGTGTTTTCCCCTCCTTTCTCTCCTTTGGAACTCCCTGCCTAATGAAACCAAGAGGCGCCTTCTTCATTCTTCTCTTTTTGGCACCTGAGGGAAACATTCTTGCTCAGACAAGCTGATGTCGAGAAAGTTGAGGTGGTTTTAATGTTTTTGTGTTTGTGCTTTAAAGCACGGTTGTGATTTTTCTCTTGGTTTATTTTTTTGTAAAGCACTTTGAGCTGCTGCTTTTTTCCACAATGAACTGATGTATAAATTTTATGAAGTGAAATAAATAAACTCCCCAGAGTGTTTCCCCCTCACCAGCCTCCTGGGATTCTTGGCAGGCTGAGGGGGTTTATCACCCGCCCTCCCCACTAGCAAAAAGGGGTTTGAAAATGGTGTCTGGTCTGCTGCTCTGCTGGCTGACGCTGCCTCCCAGTCTCATCAAGGGGTGCAAAGGGGCTAATGGAGGTTGTGTCAATCCCTCAGGAGGGCTGTGGTGGATCAAGTCAGGACCCACCATGGGGGGCGCAGGGTCTCCTTCCTCCTTGCTTCCCAGCCCCCAAATGCCAGGGTTTGGGGCCAAGGAGTGGGGCTGGGGGGTTTGTGGAGGTGCCATCACTTCAGGGGGGTCGTGAGGTGTGGCAGGTGGGGGTTTCATCTGGACATCCATTGTGTTTCCCTCTGAGTCTTGAGGGGATACTAGAAATTCCCTCAGACCTTGGTAAATCTTGAGATTTCCTGTCAGTTTCCCCCAGAAACAACAAATGGGGCTGAGGAGTCGGGGGGGGGGGAATCCTGGAGAGTTTCTGTGGAGAAAAGGGCGGACATTTCCCCCCTCAGAACAGGCAGGGACATTTGTGAGGAACCTGTCAGAGACAAGGGAGTCTCCCTCCGCCTAAGGTGTTTCCCGCTCTTTTCTCCTGAGCCCAAACATGAGGAGAAAATGGCTTCCCTGTGGAGACTGGCATCTTTCCCTCCTCGGGGCCTGAAGGGTCAAGGAAGGGATGCCAAGGGGGGCAACGGACTCCATGTTCCCTCCTCCAAGGGGCCCAATGTCAGATAAATGGAGGAACAGAAAATTCCCTCAGGAGTTTTAGTCACAGGAGGGTTCAAACGATGTGTTTTCTTCCCCCTGAAAAGTTCACATTTGTGGAAACGCTGGAGAAGGCATTTGGCTCTCCTGAATAGCTAGTCTGAAATCAAATTCATAATGGAATCACCTCAGGAGACCATGCGGTGTGTGGAGGGTTTTCCCAGGGGAAAATGGCTCCCAAATCAGTTCCCCTTTGATGGCTGACCACAGACTGGATTGAAACAGACTTTTCTTGCTTTTATTAGGATGTTTGTGTGGTAAACCACCTTGGGGTGTTGAATGGTTACATTAAAAGGCCTTAAAGAAGTCAATAACCCAAAGGTGGGGAATATTGGAGGTATGACTGAAGGTCACCTTCTTTCAGGTGTGGAAGTTGTGTGGAAATGGGCAGATCAACCCTTCTTCTTACACCCAGGATTGTCAAGTGTGGCGCTACTTGAATGCTGAAATCTAAAAGAAATAAAATAGTTCAAGGACCACAGAGGGAAACTGAAGAAAATCTTCATTGGTGCAACTCAGAGGAAATGCTCTCAAGGCTGTGAAATCCGCTTCTGCCTTGAAGTGGGTCGGGTGAGGATCCCAGCCAGAGGGCTGATCCTTAAGATCACAAAAGAGCAGGATATTGACAGAGAAATTAACAAACTACTCTCCCTGAGGAGATAAAAGTCAGCAGGGTGAGGGTGGGGAGCAGGGACTCTCTCCAAAAACGGGACTCATCCTCCGTGTCACAGGGCTGTGGGAAGAAATATATCTGGCCATTCACCATTTTATGGAATGGTAGAGAAGGGACCCCAAGGGTCATCTAGCCCAACCTCCTGCAATGAGGAATCTCAAGGATCAGGATCCCCATCTGGGCTTGAAGGACCAGTCCTGGCAGTCTGGCCAGATTCATGGCTGTTTTCAGGGACAGCTCAGGCTCCTCCAGGGAGATTCAAGGCACAAATTCTCTAGCAGAGAGATGCAAAGAAGGAATCAGGTTGCCATAACTTGCAATCCACAAGCGGAAAAAGAAACACAAGAAGAAACTTTCCCCAGATGACAAGCAAGCAACAGAGGTGGGGGAGGGGTGGACACTGTCGTTCTTGATCTGTGACTCCTTCCATCCACCTTCCAAGGAGGTTTCCACCCTCTGAGCATGGACAGAGGGCAACTGGCAGGAAGAACAGAGCTTCTCCACATCCCAGGATCCTGATGGAACAGCGAAGTCTAACTGATGAGTCCTGCAGGCAGAGGAGAGAGAGACAAGCCCATCACTGTGGGGTGAGGAATGGGGAGAAAGGGGTCCAAGAATCCCTGGCATGATTGGGGGGACACTCCATAGAGCGGCCATCAGAGATTGTGAACTACAATTCCCATCGCCACCAGTTATGGGCCTGGCAGGGGGGGCTCTGAGGAGGGAAGGAGGCAGAGGGAGGGAGACTTGGCTGGCTTTGGCAGTGGAGAAGAGAAGGTTCAGAAGAGACCAAGGAGATCTCTCCAGATCAGAAATGGGGAACCACGGACCCTGGAGCAAACTTGGCCCCCAGGCCTCTCTTTCTGGCCCTCATGGCTCTCTCCAGACACTCCTCCTGTCCCTGCTTTGAACCCCCCTTGAGTGATTCCACCTCTCTGGGATAATCCTTGAACTCTGAGGATGCCCCTTGCTTGCCTGGACCAAGAACAGAGAGGGGCATAAACTAGTCCACTCAGCAATACGGAAATTGGCACGTTTTTCTCCACCCCCACCTGCCCAGCAGTGGCATGTGGCCCCAGACGGAGGGGATGCAGCCTTTGGGGTGAAAGAGGAACCCCCACCCTGAATAGATGCCCTGCATTGGGCAAAAGAGCTTTGTCCCCCAAGGGCCAAACACCAGCCCTGGTCTCCCCACTTGGCCTTGAACTTTGCTTGACTGTCTCCCAGATGGGACATTCCCCTGGAGACCCCCTTCCAGGACCTGATATCGGAGTGTGTGCATCAGGGGATGGACTTGTCCATAGAAAGCCCCCCCTCTGTTCTACAAGGAAGCCATGGCGGGGGCACAGCAAGCAGCCAGGAGAAGGGGGTTGGGGGAGGAGGAGGAGGATGGAAGAGCAGAGAGGAAAGTTACCTGCAGGCTGAGGAACAGCTTGCCCTGGGAGAGAGAGAAAAGAATAGAAAGATTCAGTCAGCACCAGATATCCTGAAATAGCTTCTCAGGGAACATGCCACCCCCACCCCACTCCCCAGATCAAGATGACACACTCCAGGCACAGCTAGGAACTTTCCCCTCCTGTCCTATGGACTATGAGGGGTGAAAGAAGAGTCTTTGCAGGACATAAAGATTTCCTTCCCAATACAGAAATAACCCTGGGGAACATCTTGCCAACTAACCTCTTCCCCATTGCCCAATGCCCCCACCCCACACACTCTCCCATATTCCTTCAGCTGCCTCTTTTTGGGGGGGCTCTGCATTGCCCAGTTGTTGATTCGGGGATTTATTTCAGACACACAAACAGCGAAAAGACCCAATGGAGATGAATTCCCCCTCCTGACAGTAGGTGTCTCAAAGGCCCTTCGCTCAGCAGGGAGAGAGAGCCTTTGAATAATAATAATAATAATAATAATAATAATAATAATAATAATAATAATAATAATTTATTATTTATAGCGCGCCCATCTGGCTGGGCTTCCCCAGCCACTCTGGGCAGCTTCCAACAAAATATTAAAATACCGTAATGCATCAAACATTAAAAGCTTCCCTAAACAGGGCTGCCTTCAGATGAATTACTAGTGCTGGGACCAGGAAGCTGCAAAACATCTGTGTCCTTACTCTGCTCAAAGGCTTCAGAGCCAGAGATGCTTTTGAATTTCTTCCTCATATGTTGGACAGATTTAAACCTCAGACCATCTCCATAATAGCTGAGGCTCCATTTGAGGCACCAAGAGGGACCTCCTAGGAGAGGAGAAAGAACAGAACCCTCTCCAGAACCTCTGCCTAAGAAGAGGAGGAGAGCCTGGAGCCCAGTCCAGCCCCACACCCAACCCTCCCTCTCCCCCTGGCACCCCACACTCACCTTTCTTGTTCTTCAGGTAAAGGGCGAGTCCAGTGGCCCCAAAGACCAGCCCCAGCACAATCCCCACAATCCCCGTCCACATCTTGCTCCTGGCAGAGTCCGACTGTGGCTCTGAAGAAAGAAAAAGCCATGAGTGAGGAAAGGCAGGCCTGGGATCAGCCCTCTGAGGGGGGAGCAACCCATCTAGCCCCCCAGGAATGCCCCCCACTTCTTTGCGCAGTAGGTGGGTCAGGGCTGGGAAGGCGTCCTACCCCATTGCACCATGACGGGGCCTTCGAAGCTGGCATGCTCCACCTGGCAGGTGTAGACGTCTCCACGTTCTGGCTTTGTCTCCAGCATCACCTCAATATGGAAGGTCCAGTCCCCGTTCCGGATGAGGTCCGTGGTCCACACTTTGGGCTCCTCCTTCCCGTTCCTGAACCACTTGATCTCGATCCCCGCAGGGAAGAAGCGGTTCACGGTGCAAATCAGCAGAGTGTTGTGTGGTGAAGATTCAACGTTGTCTGTGGGGGTGATCTTCACCTTGGGCTGGACTGTGGGAGGGAGGCAAGGGAGATGTGGAAGGAAGGTCAGAGATTTAGGCAGGGACCTGGAGGCTTCAAGGGAGGGAGGAGAAGCCATAGTTAACGGGGGAGGGGGGGGGCTAGCCATGGCGAAGCCTCTAGGGGGCGCAACTGAGGCTCCCAGCTTGCAGGGGCGTTCCTTTCTCTGACCGCAGCCCTTCCCCCCTGGCTCCAGAGTCTAAAAGCATCTGCTGAGCACCAGAGTGATGCTAATCTGCAAGGGGAAGCAGGAAAACCTGGAAAACGACCCTCCTTCCCCTTTCCCCCTGCCTGTTTTTGGAACTGTGTGCGAAAGAGAAATCCTGGAGAAGGTTTCTCTCCACGCAAAGTTGAAATGGAAAAATCTTATTTTTCTTTCTTTCTTCTTTTGCTTCCCTTAAAGTCTGAATGATGAATTAGAAGTGGTGAAGAGATCAGAAAATCTCCTCCTGCCCTCTTGGGAACAGAAGCCCTTTGGAGTATGGCTTGCTTGTGTGTTCATTTTGTGCGTTTGTGTGTGTGTGTGTGTGTGTGTGTGTGTGTGTGTGTGTATGTGTGTTTGGATCTCTAGAAGACAACATACATGTTTACGCCACGTGAACACGTAAAGAGGGCACTGCTGCCTACAATCAGCTACAAAAACCGAGTCCTCTTCATACTGAAAATAAAATACCAGCAGTGAATGAAATGTGATGCTGACATACAAAGCTCTTTGTATTTATCCCTTCCTGTAATTTGGAAGGAAAATGTAACCAATCCACTTTAAATTTTTTAATTGCAATGGCTCAGCAGCCAGCATTTTTTAAAGGAAACTTGTGGAGTATTTATTCTTTTATTTTATTCTTTAGGGCCTTAAATTGCCTTTACTATTGAGAAGTCCCACTGAGTTCAATGGAGTTTACTCCCAGGTAACTGTGTAAAGATTCTGTGCTCTTATACTGCAATCTTCAGCATTTTTACTCAGAAGTAAGACCTACTGAGTTCAATGGGACTTATTCTCTGGTATTTTCCTGATCATTATCACAGTTTCGGTTGTTGTTATTAATTATTATTATTATTATTTACATGCAGTCATAAGATTTCTTAGAATTCCTCAAATGATCTACTGCTCTCTGAGGAGATCTTCCTAAGGTTGAATGAAACCCAGATAAGTACACAGACAATGTTACTATTTAGAGAGACTATTTCTCTTCTCCAGCCTCTTTCAAACCTCTTTTTATGTCCTTTATGAACAAATGTGTCAAGTTTTGTGTGTGTATGCAAATGCACATGGAGTGTGTGTGACAAAACTGGGTCTTTGCCTGGGTGACAGAAAGCCTAGTTTGCCCCCCCTCCCCGGGGCAGTCAGTCAATCCTACGCTCCCAGCCCCCAACTTCCCACTCCCACCAGTGGGATCTCTGACCCCCCATCTCCCCAAAGTCAGCCCAGTTTCCCCAGTGGTCAGACTGCTCATTCCACAAACAGGGAACTGCTCCTCCCGGGGGGGGGGGTCCTGGGATGCCCCTCCCCTTCCTAGGACACTTTCCATCCTTCTGTCTCATTTCCCAGTCCTGGGAATCTCAGGAATTTGTCCTTCCTTTTTTCCTAGCAAACAGGATGATCTTCAGAATTCACTGCACAGTATCCTTTTGATTTAGGGATGATCCATGGTGAATGGGGGGGGCCGCTGGGGGGGAGCCTTGTAGCTGAAAATAGTAATAATTAATAAATAATAATAATAATAATAATAATAATAATAATAATAATAATAATAATACATTTTAATTTATACCCCGCCCTCCCCAGCCAAGACTGGGCTCAGGGCGGCTAATGAGTGGTTGGGAAGGAAATGGACCATATTTATAATAATTATTATTTAATCCTGAACGTATGTGATTTTGAGATTGTGGGCTTAATTTCTACCCCCCCCCCACTTAAACATCCTCAGTCCCCAGAAAACTGGACATATGGCAGCCCAACCTGAATCCATGTCAGGTGTGCAGAAAACGACATGCTAAGGTGTCATAATTAATAACTAACGCCCAAATAACATCATTTTGTAATTTAAAAATGGTCTGGGTTTCTGCTTGAAATGCGCTCTCTCTGCTCCCCTGAAAGGCTGCTATGTCCCCCTTGCAGCCCCCCACTCTAATGTAGTCCAGCGTTGGGCTGTGTCCCGGGTTCAAATCCCCCCTGGGCCTTGAGTCTCCTGGGTGTCCCTGGCCACCCCCTCCCTCACAGGGTCGTTGTGGGGGTGGAGAGAGGAGAGGGAGAACCAGAGACAGCACAGGCAGGAAAGGAAGTTTAGGGAAGTTTTTAATGTTTGATGTTCTATTGTGCTTTTAATTCTGTTGGGAGCCGCCCAGAGTGGCTGGGGAAACCCAGCTAGATGGATGGGGTATAGATTATTAGACCCAGCTAGATGGATGGGGTATAGATGGATGGGGTATAGATTATACATTATTATTCTTATTATTATTCTTATTGTTGTTGTTGTTATTGTTATTGTTATTATTTTATAGCAAATACTGCAATTTTGTGATACAAGCCTCCCTGAGACCTACAGGCATAGGGTGGGATGCGAATTTAATTAATAATAAATAAATAAAGTAAGAGAGACACCCTCCAGATTGCAATACACGAAAAGGTTTATGATGCTTCCAGGGACACAGAAACTCCTTCTTCCTCTGCCTCTGGAGTGGGGCATCAGGAGAGGCCCCTTTATCTTTCGGAAAAGCGGGAGGGGAGGGGGCCCGGGGGGCAGCAGCGACAGGGGCTTCGAGGGGGGAAAGTCCCGGGTCCACCCCCACCCCCACCCCCGTTTTGGGTTCTTCCGGGGGGGCGTTTCCCAAGACGCCCCCCCCCCGATTCCTGACTCACCGCGCCGGGCCTGGGAGAGGGGCTCGGCGAGCTCGTAGTTGTGCCGGCAGAAGGCATCCACCATGGACATCTGGCCCCGCAGGAAGTCCTTGTCCTGGTTCCATCCCTTGACTTCGGGCTCCCCCAGTTCAGCCACAGCCACGAACTTCCCTCGGTCGCTGTCGAAGTAGGAGAGCTCCTGCCGGTCGAAGAAGAGCCTATATAGGAGGCGGACCCGCTGCGTCCCGTTGAAGAAGTGGCACTCGGGCTTCTGCTGGAACAGGAAATGCTCTGCGGGGCAGGGAGAAAATTGGGGGGAAATACAGACTTCCGGTTCCCGGTTGCCTTAAGGGCGCAGCTCCCCCGACAGCCGATAGTTGCCCCTGCCTGGCAGGAGAGAGATGGTCCGTCTCTCTCCCATTCTCTCTCGTGTCACGTGATCCCATGGCGGGCGGGCGGGCGGGGGGAGGCTGAGCAGGGAGACCCCCCTTTGACCTCCTCCCAAAGGAAAGGGAGAGAGCGATAGCGAAAGGCGGTTGTGGAGAGGGAGCCACAACCTCCAAGGCCCGGGACCCCATGGGCGTAGCCAGGATTTATTGGGGAGGGGGACAGAAGCAAGCTATCTGCTTTATTTAGTTAATTTATTTAAGGGGGCAGCTGCTCCCTGCCCCCGATCGCTACGCCCCTGCTTACCTCCAGTTTCTTTAAAACAAAAACATAAAGCTCCCTCCCCCTTTTATTGCCCTCCGGCTGGAAGAGGAAATGTTGGGGGTGGGAGAGAGACCAGGGGAAAGGCGAGATGCCGAGGAGGGGGGGAGACGCTTCTCTGCTCTGAAGGGGGCTTCACTGCAACCTCCCCCCCCCCACCGAGACCCCTCTACCGGGTAGATCCGGTTTCCCTTTCGCTTTCCCTGCCAGAGCGCAGGAAGCGACGCCAGTCTACGCAGGAGCCCATTTCATCACCCAGAGGACCCCAAGGCGGGGGGGGGGGGGACTGGGAGAGGGGGCCTGCCGCGAGCGGGGGGGGGAGTGGAGTTCAGGTTTCCCTTTCCCCCAGTTTTGCTGCCGGCGTCATGGGCGAAGGCAGGGAGGGGCAGTCCCCCCCCCCCGAAATCAATAAACATCAATAAAATACATAGCAAACTGAGGTTCCCCTTCCTAACAAAAGTCCTGCCCCCCCAACAAAAATCCTGGCTACGCCCATGCCTGTGTTAGGAGCAGAAGAAATGTATATTTATGCGGTATGTGGAGTCATTTCTAGAGTTAAGAATTGGTTATGAGATCTGTTAGAAATGATGCTAGATAAATGGACTAATAATGATGAGGATGATTTTGAGAGGCAGGTGAAGAAGAGCTCAGGGCCAGATTCAGCTCCCCCGCCCCGCAAAAAAGTCCCCTAGGGCTGCCTGCCATCAGCTGTCCTGCAGAAAGACTATTTAATGTGTGAATGCTGTGGTTTTATTACAATTCAATTGAATGTTACTTGTAAACTGCTGGGTTAGGATTTTAATCCTGAAAGGTGGGATATAATTAATTTCAATAATTAAATGCTCTCTCCTTCCCAAACCCAGAAGCTTGAGCTGCTCTTTTTCAGAGGGGGGAGTGTTTCCCCTTCCCTCCTGCCCCTTTGCCCCCCCCCCCCGTGTCCTGGAAGAAGCAAAGATCCCCCGGGGGGAAGCAAGGATTCTTCCACCTCAACTTTGCTGAACTGAACCATGTTCTTCGGATGCCAGATTAACTACTCTAGTCCTAACTTAAAAGCGGAAAGTGTAATGCTGGTGGTCAACAAAAGAGGTTAAAAGATTCTCGCAAGGCACATCAAACAAAATGTAGTATAAACACCGCCAACTGGGAAACACTGGACTGCAAGCGCTCCAGTTGGAGAATAGCCTTGACCAAAGGCCTCATGGACTTTGAAGACACTCGAACTCAGGACGAAAAGGAAAAACGTGCTAAGAGGAAGGCACGCTGGGCAAACCCTCAAGGGACCAACCCCCCCCCCACACGAAACCTCTGTCCCCACTGTGGAAGGACGTGGGGATCCAGAACTGGCCTCACAGTCACTCACGGACTGACTGTTAAGACGCTGTTCATGAAGACCATCCAGGAGGGATCGTCAAAGGAGCCCCACCGATGGGGGTCCCGCTAAGCGGAGTTTCCCCTTCCTTCTCCCCCCATTGCAGACACTTTGCTCACCTGGAGGCGCCTCCACGCCCAGCCCCTCCGAAGCGGAGACCACCAGCGCCCCCATCGCCAGCAGGAGCCCCCCAAAGGCCAAAGGCGCAGCGCCGGAGCCCCCCATCCTTCTCTCTCCTTCGCCCCCCAAGACTCCCAAATGGGACTTTCTCCGCTCAGCCCCGGGAGAAACTCCTGCAAGCCCCGCCCACTCGGCCTCCCCGCCCCGGGCGCGTCCAATCCGCCTCCGAGCCCAGGCAGCGTCATCGGTCGCCAGGCAGGGAACTCCTGGAAAGAGCATTCGCAAGGGCTCTCTCTGCTCTCGAAAGACCTGCAAGCTCCTCTTCGCCTTCTCAGCTGCTTCTGATCTCTCCATTGTTGCTGCGTCGCGTGTGAATCATGATCTTCCCCAGAAAACCTTGGGGGGAAATAAAGCTTAAGAAGAATCTGTCAGTTCCATTCAAAACTTTCCTCTGGCAGCAAAAAGGGAAATTTCAGACTCAAAAGAGCGAGATGCGCTTTTCTTCTGCTGCGTTTTGAGCCTCTAAAGCTTCGTTCTTTCAATGTATCCGGAACGAGGAAGGAAGTTTCAAGGGGGGAATAACTGTCTGCTGAGGGAGGGGCTCCCCCTCTTCGCCCCCCAGCCTGCATCCCGAAGAGACCTGGCAGCCCCCCAATAAGGAGACCCCCCTCCCCCCAATAAAAGCCCCCTCCAGCCCCCAGCTCCCCTGTGCAAGAAACATCCCTGGCGCTGGTGTCTGAGGAGCCCCATGAAGAAACACACGGGGGGGGGAGACAGAGAGGAGCCCCCCCCTTCCCTGGAGGAGACCCCTCCCCTCTTGGGCAGATCCAGCCCCCCCCACCCCAAATGCTGCTCTTTTCGCTCCGTCTCCGGCTGAGGCTCCTGCCTGGGGAAGGTTTACCTGGAGACAGGCTGGTCATCGCCAGGGCGCTTTCTCATTGGCCGAGCTGGCAGGGACTTTCCTGCTCCGCCAAAGCCGCCCCCTGGCCGCCCCCGCCCCACAGCCACTTGGAGGGCGAGCATCCAGGAGGAAGGGGCAAGGGACACTTGGGCTTGAGTCGCCCCTCGCCCGCCTCGGCCCAGGAAGAGCTGCAGAGATGGAGCCCAGAGGAGGAAGAGGAGGAGGAGGAGGAGGAAGAGCCCTTTGCTGCCTCTGGGCGACCCTCCTCCTCGCCCCGCCAAGGGGGGCCGGAGCCCTGAAAGGTCGGGGGGCGCAGGAGGGAGGGGGAGATGCCTGGGGAGGGGTCCCAGGAGGGGGGCTGGGGAAGAAAGATTGGGCCCCTGGGCGTTGCTTGTGGGCAAAGGAGGGGGGTCTCTTGGGCTACAGGGAGGAGAAGCCCCCTCCCCCTGACAGGTGCAGAAGCTGCGCCCGGGAATACGGAGGGATGGGGGGAGGAAGGGAAATTGGACGCCCCCCCCACGAAAGAGTGCTGGGAGGTGCGTGGAATTGGAGGATGACGAGCTAGGAGGATTCGGTCCCTCAAATAAGGTGGTCTAAAAAAAGAGAGAGGGGAAAACGGGGTGAAAACAGCATTCCCCCCTACACACACCAACTTAGAAGATCGGAGTCTGTGCCCCTCCTAGCCTTTCCTGTTACAAGGAGAGAAAGGGAAATAAAACAAGAATTATTATTCCTCTCTGTGGGCTCGGCTGCCACAGTACCTGCCTGGTCCGGAAGTCCCCAGTGGTTGCCCCCAAAAGCCATCAGCCCCCCCCATTGCCCCCGAAGACAGAGTGGTCTCTCTCCTGGCACAAAAGGGGCCAGAACCTGCTCTCTTCGGCTGCCCCCCATATCGCCACTTGCCTGGCAGGGAACCCAGCCGGACCCAAAGGGACTTCACTCCCCAGAAGACGCGGTTTAGTTTGAGTGAGTGAGTGAACTCCAGAACTCCACATTCAAGTGCATCCAGGACCACCTTTTGGGGCTTGGAAATGAGGGAATTAAAAACTGACGTATTTGTGTATTTGGGAGGAGATTACGCCCCCCCCCGTCTTCTTAGAGAGCCTTCCTGGTGGTGGCCCCATTCCTAGCAATGGGGAGGTTCTCCCTCATCCTGCTGTGGGGTCCTAAAGCCTCCCCCTCTCTCTCCCACCCCTGCAGTGGAGGACACCCTGGTGGAGCTGGACTTCTTCCAGGAGAGCTTCCCTTCGGAGAAGAAGTCCGGGGAGTTCCTGCTGGAGTTTGACAACGAGGAGATCCTGCACGTGGACTGGGAGAAGAAGCAGAACGTCTGGAGGCTGCCGGACTTCCAGCGCTTCACCAGCTTCGAGGTGCAGGGCGCCCTGGCCAACATCGCCGTCATGAAGAACAACATGGAGGTGCTCATGAAGCGAAGCAACCGCACCCGTGCCCTGAACGGTAGGACACGCGAGGGGGGCAGGGAAGAGAGCTGGGGGGCAGGCAGGGGGTGGTCTCTTGGCTTCTGACACGGAAGACCCTTCAGGACCCCTTTCTGCCTCCCCAGAGGGAACTCTGCTCCAGGGAGCCAGTCCTTGGCTGACGAAGACAGGCTAAAAGGGAAGGGAAGCCTGATGGGTGGGAGGGGCAGCATTGCACTCTGTACAAGCTCAGAGGCATTGCCAAACCTGAACACCTGGTGCAGAAATACCCACAGCAGCTAATTGCTATGCTTTCCATTTCTAGACTGCTTAAAATGGGTGTTGTCAGGGGTTCAGGAGCAGAGACGCAGAGAAGGGAGGAGACAGAGAGCGAGGGGGAGGAATACGAAGGAAGGATGAGTGGGGATGACGACCCGAGATCACCGAGCCTGTCTAGCGAGTCCGAGGATTCCCAGAAGGGAGCGCCAGCAGCCAGAGCAAGGGGGCAGAGCAGGGGGACACCCCAGGAAGAAGGGTCCAGAGAGGGATCAGAAAGCAGCAGTTGGAGATCGGGACCCACGTGCCCAGCCGGGAGCAGCGGGGAGAAAGGGGATCAGATATCGGGCTCCGGAGACTTTCAGAAGGAGGGAGGGCATGAGTCAGGAGTAGTCACGCCCACCTCGGGGAGCGAGGAAACGATCAAGAGGAAAGTGGAGAGTTGGGCGCGCGCGCCAAGTTCAAATGTAACGGAAGCTGGCGCAGTCAGCAGCCCAGAGAGTGAGCCGGGTCCCAAAGCCCGCCGCAAGGAGGCGGAAGGGTCAGGGGGGTCCGCGTCAGAAGAGAGTAGGAAAGGAGAGACCCAGGGGGGCAGGAGGACCCAGAGACGGAGGGAAAGGCGCAGGAGGTGGAGCAAGGCTAGGGTATTAAGCTGGTGCGCTAGAGGTGGAGACTCAGACGGGTCTTCGTCGTTCTGACCTAGAAGAAGTAGGGCTGCACGTTGCAGTTTGGAAATGGAACCTGTAATCCAATAAAGACTCTTTGAAACTGAACGCTGGCTGACTTGGTCCTATGTGAGCTGGGACTGGGCGGCAGCCCTGACAGTAAGACCCGTCTCTTGAAGCTTCTGACACCTGATACCTCGCAGCGGAGATAGAAGCAGCTGGAGGAGGGGATCGGTGTTTGGGAGTAAGCTCACGACGGTTGGCAGAGATGACGGAAGCAGAGAAAGTTTCAGCGCTGCAACAGGCAGTTACCCAATTGAATGCGGAGATACTGGCATCCAAGAAAAGGGAGGAGGATGCGGCAGCCGCCTACCGAGATCTCCAAGCCAGGTTTGAAGCATGGGTTAAGCACGGGCAACCAGGACCCAGACCGGAGGGGGTTGGGTTGGCACGGAGAGCAGGAGGGCTGGTGGCTCACTTCGATGGGAATTTACAACAGTACCCCAACTTTCGAGCAGATGTGATGTGCGCACTGCAACTGCTGGCAAAAGACTTTAGAGATGAGGAAGAGAAAGTGGGGTTTATACTATCCCATTTGCATGGGGATGCGAAAGCGTGGCTGCGCAATTTGTGGAGGGATAAAGATCCGGCGCTTCAGAGTGCAGATGCCTTTATCAAAGCGATGGATGCATGTTTTTTGTCTACCATTGATGTGGATCTTGCCCGACGGGAGATTCATGGACTGAAACAAGGGAGGGCGAGTGTCCGGCAGTATCACACCCGCTTTTTTGCGCTGGTCAGTGCATTGGAATGGGACCGGGACTCGCCCCCAGTCAGGGATCTGTTCTGGGAGGGTCTAAGCTCTGCTGTAAAGGATGAAATTGCGAGGGGGGAGAGGCCCCGAAGCACGCAGGAGGTGGTCCAACGGGCGCTGACTGTGGAGGTGAGGCTGGAAGAACGTCCATGGTGCAGAGATGAAGGACGTGGAGGGCGCGAAGCAGCGAGAAGTTTCTCTTTCGTTCCAAGGGAAGCAGCGCGTGCGCAATCCACACCTCCGCCAGGAGGGGGAGTGGAACCTATGGAGGTGGGAGGCGCCAGGGCTCAGTCAGCTAGCAGAGCCTCTGCACCGGCGGCAGTCAAGACCAAACCTCCTAGAGGGACCAGGAAGTGTTACATATGCGAGAGCCCTCAACACTTGGCGAAAGAGTGTCCCCAGAGGAGCTCTAAGCACACTGTAGCCTCCGCAACGGTGACAGCGGCCACGCAATGCAGCGAAGCCCAGCAGGGAAACGACGATGTCTGGCTGGAGACAGAGGCACTGGGGCCCAGCCAGACGCATCAGTGAAGCAGTCCCCAGCGATATTGCAACCCACGGACCCCCTCCCACCCAAACCAGTAGTGCAGCTCACAGCGTCTCTCCAGCTACCCAATGGCTTCACCATCGAAGTGCCGCTTTCTGTGGATTCTGGAAGCAACGCAGACTTTATAGCACAGGATTTTGTGGAGCAGCACGCTATAAAGCTGCTGCCTGCCACTCTGCCCCTGCAAGTCGTCACAGTGGATGGCAGAGAGTTGCTAGGGGGGCAGGTGGTGAAGCAGACGCCACCAATGGTGATGCAACTTGGTAACCACAGGGAAGTCATCAGTTTTAATGTCACCCGACTGTCGGACACGCCCATTGTGTTGGGCATGAGTTGGCTGGACAGGCACAGTCCAACGCTGGCTTGGTACCAGCGACAGCTGATCTTCGGCTCCTCTTACTGCGCAGAACACTGCATCCTGCCCAGGCAGGAGGGGGAGGAGGAGGACTCACAACTGCAGTTGGGAACGTTGCAAGCAGTTCCCCACAAATACGCGGACTTTCT